CCGGATCGCGTGCATCACCTTAAAGGCGAGCGCGACCACCGGGGACGGGGGGCGCGCGGTCGCCGGGGGAAGCGGGACGGGCAGCCCCGCCCGGGTGAAGCCGAACAGCCGGCGATCCCGCGGCGAGGGGAGGTAATACGTGATCGCGTCGAGCAACGGCTGCACGCCTTGATAGCGGCGAGAGGCCCCACAAAGAACCGGGACCACCGAGCTCGCGGACTCGTCCTGCTGCTGCATGAGAACGACGCGACGAATGGCGCCACGAAGATCGTCGGCCGAGAGGCGGGATTCCGCGGTGGGCTCATCGCCATTCGTCGCATCGAGCTCCTCAATCAGGCGCATGGAAAGCGCATCATCCATCCCCGTGAGCTGCGTGATGAGCTGATGCCGAGCGTCGATGCACGCCTCCACGACATGTGCGTGCTCACCGGAAAAGTCCACCGCCGTGAGATCCTTCGTATGAATCTCCCGGCAGGCGCGCTCACCGGGGAAACGGTGCGTCTTCATCTCCACGAGATCCGCGACCCCCTCAAACGCGCCATCCTCCCCGCGAAGTGGAAGCTGCAGTAGGATCGGTTCCACCTTGAGCTTCTCGCGGATGGAGCGCACCGCCATCTCATAGTTCGCGTTCATCTTATCCATCTTGTTAAGGAAGGCAAGAATGGGGGTGTGGAACTTGCGGCTTTGGCGGAGAACGGTGTAGTTCTGCGCCTGCACCCCGATCGAGGCGTCGAAGAGGGCGACGACGCCGTCCACCACCCGCAGCGCCCGCTCCACCTCGACGGTGAAATCAACATGCCCTGGGGTGTCAATCAACTGAATCGTGTGCGCCCGCCATGGAAAGGAAACGGTGGCGGATTGAATCGTAATCCCACGCTCTACCTCCTCCTTCATGAAGTCGGTGGTGGTGGTGCCGTTGTCAACATCTCCGGCGCGTTTAATCGTGCCCGCGTAGAACAGCATGCGCTCCGTCGTCGTCGTCTTTCCCGCGTCGATGTGCGCGACGATGCCGATCGTCCGCATCCGCGGGATCGCCTCCTCGAGCGCATCCAGCGTCGATAATGATGAAGAAGTAGAGGGGTGGTGAGCCCCCCTCTGATCGCTAAACTTTCCCACCTCCGAGAGCAAAAGGGAAGTAGGATGACAGAAAGAAAACAAAACGCATCGTGATTTGAAGTATCTCGTGAGAAAAGTTCTACTAAACATAAATTTGAAGCTGTCAAGTGAAAAGAAAAAGACTTCAGGGTAAAACAATGGAAAGAAAAAAAAAGAAAATATAGAAGCTCGGTTTTTCTTCTCTTTTCGTGTATACGGTTGCCGTTTTTCTAGCTAATGTGAAAGATAATTAGCTTACTCACCAAACGATAAAAACAATGCTTACCTTTTTACCCTTTAACATTCTTCATTAATATGAAGGTAGAGAAAAATGAAGTGGAGGATTTATAAAAAGAGTTGCTTTCTTCACCTTGGTTAGAATAGAATACGAGCGCATACCCAATCGAAGACCTAAATGAGGGCCTCTTGAAGTAATAGATAGTAAAACGTATTGATGAATCTTCTGAACCCCGACAGATAGCCACTTCTCTTTTCCACTACAAAGAAAGGTTTCTACAGAAAAAAAGGGTAGGGAAAAAACAGTTTGACCGTTTTATCAGCTGAATTCTATTTTCCTAATCTCAATTCTCTATACGACTTAGTAAATGTTTCCTGCAGAAAGGAAAATATTAGAGTCAGGATAACGAAATTTAGAACGCATCATAAAAATAAAAATAGACTTTAGAGGCATGTTCTTAAACGGTTCAATTTTTTCCCTAAGGATTCAGCTAAAAAACAATATATTTGACTATATTCCCTCGATTACTTACTTGCTTGGTTTTGAATTATCTTTACAAATGGGGTTCGTATCATACGCTCACGTTATTTCAAGGTGGAATTATGGGTAGTTTGTTACTTCTCGAATTTGTAGCATCCCAATGTCCTCACAAAGGGAAAAAAAAAGAATTTAGTCAAGTGTGAAAATTCATTGTTTTCAACAATAAAACGAATTTATCCCCCTCTCTACGTCAAATATATATATATATATATGAAAAAAATATTGGTGAAATACTTAATAACTTTTCGTCTCAAATTTCATCAACTTATCCAGCCGAATACAATGCCGCTCTGCCCCAGAAAACTCAGTTCGGAGGAAGGTGGTGATAATATCCCGCAACACCACCTCCCCGACCACGCCGTAGCCAATACACAACACATTTGAGTTATTATGCTCCCGCGTCAGTCGGGCAGTGGTTTGATCATGACAAAGCGCGGCGCGGATGCCGTTTATCTTATTCGCTGCAATACTCATTCCAATGCCCGTCCAGCAGAGTAAAATTCCAAGCTCCGCCTCGCCGTTTCGCACCGCCAAGGCGACCTTCTCAGCGTAATCGGGGTAATCCACTGCGCCGGCCTGGAAAGGTCCGAGGTAAATCGGCTCGAAGTCCGCGCCGGCCTCGCGAATCATCGCGGCGATCTTCTCACGACCCTCATAGGCCATGTGGTCGGAGGCAAAGACAATCTTTCGCGTCATAAGGATTAAAAATAACGTTCAATGACGATGAAAATAAAAATAGAGATATATATAGGTAGACTGCCAAAATGGACTCTATCAATGGCGGTGGTTAAAATGATAGTTATAAAAAAAAAAGATCGATCAAGTGATTGATTTCAATATGTCTGGTCTTCCAAATCTTCTACATAAATATGGATAAAAGGAATGAAAACGATTGAGAGTATCAAAAAAAAAAAATGAGTAGAGGAGTTGTAGGGACATACTAGCCTAGCAGTTCTGTAGACATGTTCTGCACACTTTTAGCCGTAATAACAACAACCACAAAAAACAAAAATCCAAAATTGAGTCCTCACTTACACGTTTAGGGTTCATAACTTTAGTTCTGGGTTATCAGGCAGGAGCAATTTGAAAAGATAATGCTCAAATAGTGGGGTATCACTGACTTGCAGTTGAGGTAATTTTTTTTTTTAAAAAGGATAAGGCATTAATATACGAACATATATATATATATATATATATATGTAGCAAGAATGCATACCAGTAAGAAACAGCACCAAATTTCCCCTTGCTGAAGAGTGAGGTAGTAGGAGAGCGGAAGCCTTCACACCCAACACCAGTCTATGAATGGAAAAGGGAGAAAAAGGCAATTCCGTTGACCCCGCGAACAAAAAATAATAATATAGATACATCAATGCCGAGATACGCATCAAGCCAAGCTTCTTGATCCGATCGAGTTCACGACGATAGGACTAAACCCCCTCTCCCCCCGCTTTCCATTCCACCCTCATTCCTCATCCCCCGTCATCTCCCTCCCTTGCTCATCGATCGCCGGAAAGAAGTAGGTCGGCAAAACACACAGCAAATATAAAAGCACCGTCTTGTACTCCGCAAACGCGACCTCCGTCGAGTAGTACAACGTTTCGAGATATTTCTGACAAGCCGCATAATGCCCCACCCACACACACAGGAGGCGGAAAAAGTTCCGATAGAAGCACCCCCCACAGCGCAGGTAGTACGCCCGCACGTCATTCCCGGGGAAGCACTCGCCGAAGGTCCAAAACGCCGCGCACCCGCCCCCCCCCCCCCGCCCGCGCGCCGCCGC